GCGTGTAATCTCAGATGGAATGAACTCCCTCATGTGATCATCGAGCTGCCCGGCTCTAAAGTCCGAGCCTGATCCCTTGCCGTCACCAAATCTGACATCTGGTCTACCACGTACCGTCACCATACTCAAGTATACTATAAAAATATCAGAACACTTATCATAAATCGAGAGATCGCATACACTACAAGTTCCCTGGTTTTATCTCAGCCTTACTTGATTCGAGTATAGATCCTCTGCTTTCAGTAGTACGAGCCCATACTACCTTCCACATCTATCCGTACTTTCCTCAAGAATTGCCTCTACTCCACCAAGTCCCTTCTACTACTACTGTTGTTCTCACGCTAATCTCATCCTAGGCTTGCCGTAGGGTAATCACCAACCCACTCTTCGCCATCAACTGTATAAGAAGCCCATGCTATCTCCTACTAACTAGCTCGCGAATAGCATTATATATCACTAAGACTAGATAATTCTTCAAATGAGAGGTCCTACCCTATAACGGTTAGACTCAAACGAGAGCTGCAAAATAGAGCTAAACCTAATCTTCTGAAACTATTTAGTCCTTGTAATATGTAACGTAACATATTTGTTTACAAGTTAGTTAGAGATAACTAGAACTCCTAAAAGCACAAAGCAAGCAACATTCGAGCATTGAGTACACATAATCAAGCATATCCTACTGAGGCCATCATATTACTGACTAATCAGTACTAGCATAAAGTTCAATAAGCTCATACAACAGGCATATAAGGCATCCTTCCTATATCCTTAGCCCTAAACTAGCATGCAGTTCTCATATACATACAACAGGCATATAAGGCATCCTTCCTAGATCCTTAGCCCTAATCTAGCATGTTGTTCTCATAATCATATCATAACATAAACTTGTATGGGTAATTTGGGAGTACTTACTTGAGCTCGGTTGATTGCATGCACCACACCCTTTTCTCTTTTTTAAAGTTTTTTTCTCTTTTCAAAATTCTTTCTTTTTCTCAAAGTTCTTTTTATAAAAATGATTTTTCTTTTGAAAATTTTCATACCAAATCCTCAGTTTGAGTTCAGACACACCCGAGTGTGTACCCGAATCCCTCAAACCAAGGCTCTGATACCAACTTGAAACATCCCAAAAATACGGTCCAAAAATTTCGTTTTAAAAATCATTTAAGAGAATCATAATCCATCAAACATCACAATAAAATCATAAGTTATGTGTCTCAATCATCACAATAAAATACTATATCAAAATCATGTCTTAAAATATCAGAGTCTATACATCCCAGTCTGAAAGCTGTGATGTGTGCCATGCAGTCATCCCGAGCTCTTCCCCTTACTAGCGGAAGTACCTGAAATAAAAACTGAAAACTATAAGCACGAAGCTTAGTGAGTCTCCCCAATCTACCACATACCATACACATATCACATAATCACATAATCACATATCAACATATCGTGGGCCCCACCCTGGTACATCGTGCCCTGCTCGACATCGGGCCCCGCCCCGCATCAGACCGCATCTGGCATCGGGCCCCGCCCGACATCGGAACGAAGTCTAGTATACATATAACATATCAACAAGCATATAACATAAACACATAACATAAACAAATAAACATTCATCGAGCATGCGCCGGTATCCGACCGAAGTCCGTAACACATAACACACAACATATAAGCCAAACATTCCTCGGGCTTGCCCCGACATCAGACCGAAGTCCGGAACACATAACACATAACATATAACATATAAGGTAAACATTCCTCGGGCTTGCCCCGGCATCGAACCGAAGCCCGGAACATATAAACAAACACATGCACGAATCACGAAGACATCAAGCATATAAACATTCCTCGGGCTTGCCCAAACATCATACCAAATTTCAGAAACATATAATCTACATCGGGCTAACCACGGCATTGGACCTAAGTCCGGCGTACACTAACATACATAAACGAGCCGACATTGGTGCCTTCGACCCGTTCCTACTGGGGGAAAACTCACCTCGCACTGCTGAAGTCTTGCGAATAAATCTCTGGCTGCTGACTGACAGATTCCCGAACCGTCAGTATCAAAATAAACCTAATTAACCTTTTGGGGTTCAATGCACAACCATAAACCCACACTTGGGGTAAAAGGACCATTTTAACCCTAACCTAGCTTGGTCCAATACCAAGGCCCAAACTTATTCTTTGAAGGCCCAAAAAACAAACAATGAACCAAAACCCAACATATGGCCCAATTTTCTAAATTGTACCCAAAACTCTACATGGTCTTAACTTATGACCCAACCATTTATTTTAGTCCAAACACTTGGCATTCTGATGGTCTAATATCTCATAATCATCACGGCCCAATTATGCCCCATTTATGGCCCAATTTTCCCAATTAGGCCCAAGCCTGTCCAATGGGCCTTCTCTTTAAGCCCAATCCAAATTATCTAGTCCATATATTTGTTATAGGATGGCCCATCAGGAGCCCAATCACTAAAACCCAACAAAAAGGCCCAACTCAAAGCCCAACCAAAATTTGGGTTTCTCACATGAAATGACGATTTGGGTTAAGTATTCTTACTTAACCCATTAAGGACGTAACCTATTAAGGACTTAATCCATTAAGCCCATCACTCCATTAGGCCATTCATACAATTTAGTTGGACATAAATAAAAATTCCAGTCTATCAGTCCAAACACGGGTCCCGACAATTCCCAAACTAACATTCCCAGAATTAGGGTTTTCTAAACCCTAATTAGGGTTTCCAACCCAATCACAAGCCAACTAAGTCCAAGATTAAGCTATTGGGCCGATTAGGGTTTCATTAGACCGGGCACCACCCACTACCACCTCGGGTAGTGGTGGTCAACAGAGGCTCACGGTGGCGCCACCACCTCATGGCAGTGGTGGTGGTTTTTCCTTCAATCCTTCCGCTAAAAATAATGCTTAAACAAGTCCCGTTATAATAAACATACTCATAACACCACAACATACACACGCAACCACCACCATACGTTGGCTGGTTGTGGCGAAGCAGTGGCAGGAGGCGGCAGCCACTACCTCACGGTGGTGGTGGTGGTTTTTCCGGCCATATATTGCGCAACAACTCCAAAAACACAATAAGCAGCATATATACTCGAACACATAAACATTCGGCCACCTCCTAAGTGGCTTAGGTCGCCGAAAACAACAAGATCAGTGGCCAACAGCCACCGGTAGCGGCTACGACATACCCGACGTCGAACAGATGAGAGGAAAGAAGAGGTAAGAGGTGGCTTTCCTTACCGAGAACCCTCAGGTCACGCATGTCCTTCTCAGCGGCGAACGCGGCTTCCATCATCAATATCGGTGGCTTTTCAGGTGACTCACAACGTCTGAAAGCAGGGTAGTGGGGGTGACGTTGTCACGATGACTTAGCAGGTGGAAGGGTGGCGGTCGGCTCAGACTTCTCTTATCGGAAAAACGACGAAGAAAGGAGGTGGCGGCTGAGGAGTTACAAGAGGCAGCTGCTACAACTTATTGTTAGGTTTTGTGTCCAAGAAACAAGGGGGAAGGAGTTCGGGTTAATCATGGGTCTCATTTCTAACCTGTGTCAGATTTTCCAAGTTTGGTCCCTCCTCCTCAAAACCTTTTCAACTTAAGTACAGTATTTACCAAATAGCCCCTATCTTTAACAATTCATTACAATACAAACCCCAGAAGTTACCCTTTAGCCCATGTGTCCAACAATCCTTTCATAATAAGTCTAATATTTTACCAAACATCCATGTCTTCTAAAAATCTTATAAAATGAATCCCGAAATTACACTTTAACCACCGAATAATCCAAATTATAACAATGCTCCCCAAAACTAACACCATGCTAAATATTATGGATTTTAGGCTAGCATTCATTCATTAATTTTATCTATTTATTTATTTCATAAAAGGGATGTTACAGTATTTGTATCTGATATCTTCAACACATCTACACCTCTCAATATCTTCGTGACTGTAATCAAATCATTCAAGTTCATCAATGGAAATCTGCTATTGTGAACTCAAAAACAACGTTATTTGTCCTTACAACAACATATTGAAAGTTTTGTAGCAGGCCTTCGAACAGGCTATCACGAATAATGGTCATCACTTTTACTATCTTCACTAAAGACTACAACTCTTCTTTATTCTTCCCTAAGACTGTGATAAAGAGAATTTTCAATCTTATGATTTCTTCATCGTGATTAATGTTCTCTACGATCTTGAATTGACAAGAAGTGAGCAACATATGATTGATCAGAAAGTCAAGTTGAATAAAATCAGAATTTTCTATGTCGTAGGTCTTCTTTGTCACTTTTCGAAAATCATCATTCATTCCAATAGAAACAATATCTTCTATTGTTTCATAACACCACTGCTTGTTGGGATCACCCTTGTTGAAGTTGGGTAGGTCATTTGCTCTTCGCCTTAGAATGCTGTTTAGTTGCCTTTGTTTTTCGATTTTGATGGTTTGTTGCTTTTTATTCTCTTCATCTAAAGGAATAACTAAGACTGATTTCCCTTTATAATTTTGATCAACATTCAAAGTTGATTTTTTTGGGATTGAACTTGCAACTCCTGCACCTTCATTTATCGATATTCCTTTTGACAAATCCTTCATGGTTTTTGTTGTTGTAGAAGTTGTAAGACACCATTATAGGTTTCATGGGAAGTGAAGTTGGAATTTGATTCAAAATTACTTTCCTAACTACTACTCCTTTCTCTTTATCAAAATCCTTTGAAGACCCAACTCTTCCAACTCCATTTTCTTCCCTTTCGACACGTTCACAACACGTAGAGAATTAGTTCGTAAATGAAGTACAAAATCAAGTATTGGAGCGAGCTCGGTTTTAATATTCGACTCGATGTTAGAAATCATTTGTGAAAGAGATTCTTGAGATACTTTTGATTGATTCGAAAGATCAACCTTTGAAAAAGATTCCTTAATACTTGGCAAAAATTCCTCCATCTTGCGAAACACCTTTGTATCCTTCTATGACTTGGCTTCAACCTGTTTCGTGTACTTAGTATTGAACTCAACCAATTTAGTGATGGAACCAACAATGACATCGACTTTGCTGTGCAACAAGGTATAGTTTTCCTCCATCTTATGGACTTCTTTCGACAACGAGGATTTGAGTTCAACAAGTTTTATATCAAGAGACTCCTTCGTTGTAGTCCCTTGTTCTACGAAGAGATCTTGATGTTCCTTTGCTACATCACAAAGCTTTCTTATCTCATAATCAAAGCTATTGGAATGAAAAGCAAGTCTTTCAGCTTATTTTTACTCAATTCCCTCTATCAAGTTTCGTAAACGAGAGTTTTGAGCTTTAATCAAGTATTCCATTTCGATCCAGTTACGTAGTTCTTTCCTCCCATATATGCTTGTATCTGAAGAAGATAATTGCTTTTTGAATTGAGTATCTTGAACTGTTTACCTTACATGATTAATCCAGTTACGTAGGTTTTTCCTCCCATATTGATGATTGGTTCTTGCATGACTCCAGAAAATGTTGGTGAGATAGTCGAAGCTGGAACTAAAGTAGGAATAGGTGATGAAGGTGGTGGTAAAATTGTTGAAGTTGGAATGAAATTTGTGGCAGTAGATTCGTTATTAAACATCCCTTCATCCATGTTGACATTTGTGTCCTTATTAGATAAGTTCACAGTGATGTCTAGAGTTCGTACCTCCTTCGGACCGGAGTCAGTATTCGAAACCTCGGATGCTTTGTTAATTTCCTTCTTAGGGATATTAATGTTTTGTTGATCACTTCAATTGATGTTTGTATCCATATCAGATACGCTTACATTAACATCAGGATCCCTTGTCTCCTCGAGATTCAACTTGACATGAGAATCCCTTCAAGGTGAAGCAGTAAAAGAATCCTCTATGTGAACATTAGACCTTTCGCTACCACTGTCATGCTAAGTTTCGACTGTCACATTTGCAAGTGGAACTTTAACTTCACGCTTCTTCTTGTGTAACTTTTGAACCATATCTATAGCTCGATTCTTCTTAGAAGCTCGTGAACCAGGAATCGATACTTTATAAAAGAGAACACCCCTCGTATTATTGAGGCTTTTGAACCTTTATTGGACAACCCTTAGAAGAGATCGAATTTGAAGTTTCAACATCCTTAGGCTTAGCACTTTCGACTGTAGGTTCTTATTTAGTTGGCTTGATTTGTAATTCAAAAGGCTTCTTTGTTGTTTCTTCGTTCTTTTGAGAACCCCAGTTTTCGTGGGTGTAGTCTCTTTAACAACTTCCTCCTCCACAGTTGGTCGTTTTTCAACTTGTTTCTTCTTCTTTGGAACCTTTGAATCTTTAGATCTTCTTTCTACCCCCTTTTGTGGAAGAAACCAAGTTGAATTAGAAGAATCAATCGAAGCCAAGTATTGCACCAATAGTTCATTTTTGGGATCCACAAGCTTGAGCATCGCATCCAAAATGCGAGCAACATTGGGAAAAACACTAGGATCATCAACAAAAAACCTTGGAGTAGTCTTTATGAGAAAGCTCAGCAATTTCGATACCAGATGGAACAAGAATATGCTATTGATTATAAACTTCCTGTAAAATTAAGCTACAAAATCAAGCACTCGAAACACCATTTGTTACATTTGTGTGTGAAATCGAAGTTCCAAACTCCTCCCATAAATGTGAAGCATAGTCGACATCCAGACCATAGTATAGCCCCGCAATTATAGATTAAACTTCAAGCTTGGCTTTATCAATCCTAGAGCTTCATCCTCTCAAGCATCTCAGAACTAACCTAAACAAGAAACTCCAAACACATGGTAAATTGGACTTCTTAAAATGACTTATTCTAGTGAGATTAACTTGATGCCCCATTTCATTAAACATATGAACCACCTGATCATTCGTGACTTCATTGAATGTACATGAAACTTGTAACTTCAGAATTTAGGCAAATTGCTTCCAAGTGAGCTTCTTTGTCTTTGGATTCGAGAGATGAAACGTAACCACCTGAGTAGTTTTGTTGAATACAACAGTTGAAGTAGCAAGTGAAATCTATTGCATCAGGATTGCAAACGATGAGGAAAGTGCAGTCGATAGTACAGAGTTGTTCAAAGTTTGGACAAGCATCCATAATTCCTTTGGATATTGATCAAGATCTTCATTAGTGGTTGCGAGACTTCTTCATCATTAGTGGTTGTTAGATCAGGATTATGTTGAGAAGCAGCCATTGCAAAGAGTTGTGAAGAAATTTAGAAATGATGAACAATTAGGGTTCTTTGAGTTTTGATCAAAGAGCATAAAGTTCGATAACGAAACAATCATCTTCCTATTATAATCAGTGTTATGTTTGAATTTGAACTGGTACCCAATAAGAAAAATCCACGTATTGTGTTGGTTACTTAACCGTCACCGTAAAAAACTCCACGTCATAAAAGTGATCATCATGTTCTCCTTGATTCCCATGAAAATCCTGAAATGTCACGTCCACTGGATCTTTTTCTATTCTCAATTGGATAAGACCCGTTACAAGTTTCGAGCCTCAAACAAATATACCATGTGATCTGACATTAAGGTAAGACCAATCCTTCGACATGGAGGTTGGGCTCATTCGCTTTTGGGATTTGGAAGCAAAATCATATGCCATAATATGAAAATTCTAAGTTTTGAGTTGGTAATACCCAAAACCTCAAGGATTTCAGTGTGTTCGTGTGCCAAAGAATGAGATAGAAGTAACTAAAACATAATGTGGATATTATGATATCAAATTTCATTTGATACGAAAGCAAAATGATCCTCGGGAAAAGATCTCTTCATTCGACATCGAGAGAGATGAATAATTACTTGTGTGGTATCCCGTGAATTGTAATCGAATACTCGTTGATGAGAATTGAAGGGCTTCCTTTGCTTTGGTTTCGAAGGTAGCTTCAATTTTGCACAAAGTCACAACTTAACATAAGTGTGATTCAATTGAGCAAAATTACTTGGACGAATAATCTAGTTAAGAAATAGTTTGATTGGTGATGATTAGTGTCACACCCCCAAACCAAGGATGGCGGAAACATCCGGGGGTGGCGTACTTCATGTATAGCATCACAACAACGAGTATAATAGTGCTCATGGTAAATACAATCATCATAAGTATAATTGAAAAAGTTACACCATAGTATGAGTTACATGTTTCTTAATCAATTACATCATCATGACAAAAATTTTAAATTGACGTCTTGCGTCCCATCCTCAAAAGCAGTTGGTTACCTGTTTCACTGGTTCCCTGAGAATACAAGTAGTTTTGAAAGAGTGTCAACAATTAAGTTGGTGGGTTCATAAGTTTTTGATTTTAGTGATTGAGAAATCCTTATTTATATATGTATTGCATATACAAGAAAAATCAAATATTTTCCTTATAAAATGTTATGTAGTCTTAAATCCCAAGACCGGTTACAATGAGTGTGTTTCGTAATTATAACGATGAATGTAGTTTTAAATAGATAAAACCCTTTTTAAAGTAGAATTTCCCGTAAACTTTAAATGTTGTTAACTTCCTATGTGAGTCGCTATAACCATACTACAACCGGATGACGTGCTACAACGTTTTTCAGGTCTTAGATTTTGTTATGACTTTTGTCACACGTAGACCTGCAGGTCCCGCTGTAGCTAGCAGCAAGGTGTGGGGTGTCAATCCCAATATAGATATATACACAACTATCACGATCTCCCTACAAGAGATTATGGTTATAACTTACAGGAATTTTTAGCCCGCACTCTAAGAGTACAATGAAGAATTGTCTCACAACTTACGTTAACGAGTTTACGTGTAGTGTTTGAGTAAAAACCTTTTTCTGTGGTGAAAGTGGAATTTCCCTTTTATGTATCAAAACAGTGATATGAAGTTATTAAACTATACTTATCATAGTTTATCATGTAGTAGTTGAAAACCCGTTTGTATTATGGTAAGACCCTTCTTGTGTATGTAATATTTTAACCAATGCAGAATTATACTTATATATTTCATCTTGCATTAATTCTAATTACAAAGGACCCTTATAATTTATAGAGTGTTTTCTGCTATATAACATATCACAACAGATAAACACATGTAATATACAAAATCATCAAAGGTTACACTTTGCTCAACATGTTACAAAGTGTTATTGCTATTGTAAACTGTTAACTTGTTCTTAACTTTCCTACACTGTTTTAGAAAAGTCATAGAAAAATCACACGAAGTCAAAAACCAAATCCGTAAACTCTGAGAGTTTTGAAAACGTGTCTTGTTTGTTCATAAATTTTATTATGATTTTTAGAAGTCTCTAACTTGTGTGAAAATGTCCATATTCACATACTGGTCTGAATTCGTTTCTGAAATGATAGGCAGTTTTGTAAAAATCACCATAAATTGTAGAAAAATAGTATGGACATGTGCAAGTAGTCATTTTAAAGGTATCAACCTGAACTACTTTCAAATTAAACATTTTTGAAAGATATTGAGTTTAAGATGGTCAAAACAGTTCGTGAATAGGACTTAACTTTTCTGATGTACGCTGTTGTTTGAGTTTAGTTGTGTTTTTGGCATTTTAACTTGTATTCTCCCCCTAAAACTTGAAGAAAAACATGAAAATGTGGGGGTATAAACTCACTTTGAGTTATTCTCTGAGGTGAAGGTGGAAGAAAAGAGGTTTCCAAGTCAAGAACACTTGTCAGATGCTTGAAGATTCGAAGACCCTAAGCACAAATATGATGATATTTGTATAAGAGATTCATGATTTGAGTGAAGGAATGTAGAGTATTCAAATGTAGGATGAATTTACTTACCAAGACTGAAGTGAAAAGCTCAATAGTAACCTTGTAATCTCGAGTTCTAGAGAGGGAAAGAGAGAGAGAGAGGTGTTTGCTCTTTGGTGAGAGAGTGAGTAAAGTGGAAGGGGAGAGGAGATTTTTCAGCTTTTGATGAACCTTTACAGCTGGAGGAGGGGTGTCAAAGGATAAATAGTAGACTAGGTAGGGAGCAATAGTGACTGAGGTTTGTCCTATGAGGGTATGGGTGTTAACTTGTGTCATACTCTAGATAAAGTCAACACTCTATCACAAAATCTAACTTAATAGATTTTATTCCTGGACAAGGATTTCCCCCCCCCCCCAAAATATGATAAAAAATGAATATTTAGGGTCTCTTATGTTAAAATACGAGTTTGGGTGAAAATCCCACGTTAAAATCACGAAAAACGGGCTTAAAACGGAGTTGGGGTCGAAAACCGGGAAGAATGAAATTTCCGAAGTCTGGCCGAAGTTTCGGTCCTTAGAGGGTTACAACCGAAGGCTGGTTCGGTTGTTGTGTTAGAACCGAGAGGGAGAGGTTCGGTCCGAGCAGGTCTCGCAGGTGAAGCCATCAGAAGAGGGACCGAAGGCGAAGTGTAGTTCGGCTCTAGAAAGAGGTTCGGTTCTTAAGCTAGTTTCGGTTCCTTAAGGTAGGTTCGGTTCCTAAGAGGTTTCGGCTCCTTAGGAGGTTTCGGCTCCTTAAGAGGGTTCGGTTCCTTAAGAGGGTTTGGCTCCTTAAGAGCTTTCGGCTCCTTAAGAGGGTTCGGCTCCTTAAGGCTGTTTTT